TACCGTTGTTAGGAGAGAGCAATGTAAGCTAGTGGTCGACTACCGGTTGTGGCATGAAAATGCCCTAGCACTGTTCATAATCGACTACCGGGTGTCCCCCCCCCCCCCCGAGTTATATGTGTTGAGCAACTGGTGCAAGCGAATAGTTTAAGTTGTATTTTGCTATATTTTCCTATTTGAGAGGTATTTGATTTATATATAAGCTATCATTGTAATATCAATTGTAACATGAGGTGTTTAAGAACGAGAATATCCTTCAAGGTTTAATTGGCACTTGGAAGTCCAATCAAGATTTGGTAGACACTCATAAGCTCAACTTGTAAGTCCAACTGTTTAGGTTGGCAGGCACCCACAATTTTGCCCAGGTATTGCAGGCATCCAAAAGTCTTGCTAGTTGTACAGGCTTTGTTGGTGCCTAAAAATCCACCTAGGTTTTAGTAGGAATGTTAAGAGGTTGCCTGAGGTAGAGGGCATAGGTCAAGGTTGGTTGAACTTTTATGAAGATCTTGTGTACTATTTATCTTATTTTCTTTATGCTTCATTTCATTATTTCTTTAACTATATATAGTTATTTGCTTTTATTGCCAAACTATCATTCAACTATCTACACTAACAAGTAGATACTTTCTTTCATTTATTTATTTTTCTCTAACTACTTTACATTTACAATTGTTCTTTACTTTATTGTTCATTTACTTTTATTTGCTACAATATATTGTAAGTTACATTTACTTGCTATAGTTAGGGCCTTAGGGGTGGACAGGAATTGATCTTTTCACGAGCTTTTTGAGTTTGGCTCATAAAAAGCTCAATTTGAGTCGGTCTAAATTGAACTTTGAGCCAATACGTAGGTTTGTGAGGCTGGTGAGCCTAGTTGAACTTTTGCATGCATACATACATACAAAAAATAATTATATGTATAATAATAACTAGCTTATATAATTCTTGTTTTTTATATGTAGAATAAAAAAATATTTTTTTCATTGAACTTTTGACTCACAGTCGAACTCCAATTAAGCCAAACTCGAACTTACGAGCTTTTGAGTCGAGCAAAATTCGAACTAAAGCTTGAACTCAAGCCTTATAATTTTTTGTCGAGCCGAGCTCAGATAGCCATTCAACCCATCTTGGCTTGAATCCATCTCTAATTTCAGTTATTAAACATATTGTTCATCTATTTTGTATAATAATATTATATTGTTCTCATAATTGACTTAAAGCAATTGCTCTGTTTATTTAGTGAATCATTTGTGTAACTACTTTAATCATACTGCAGATACACATTCTAAATGTCCATTTTCACAACATTTAGTTTCATTTTTTGAAAAAGGCTTAGATTTGATTTTTGAGTAAAAATTTTAAGTCATGCCCACTTCACCCCCTCTTGGGTAAGACCGTTTAGTCCAATAAACATAACATCTATGATATTATCTTTTGTAAACCTACAAACAGGCCAAATTATAATCCAGTCCAATTATATCAGATTTTGATGCTCTCTATCAACATTTTCAAAGAGGATTGGATTTCTGTGGGAATCATCCCTAAGCACAAAATGATAATCTATCTTCACCTATTTGAGAATTTCTATGGGTCATACCTTTTTTCTAACTGTTTCGATTTGATTATTGAACAATGGTCATGTCACATCACTATTTAATACCTCCTTGGTGAGCACTCGAGGTATGCAATTAGTTGGTTTGGTTTGGTTTGATTAGAATCGATGACCTAACTAACTATTTGATTGACCATCTCTCCCAACAATAGAACCGAACTAGAGTTTAGAACTGAACTGGCCCTAAACGAATTCAGTTCGGGTTGGTTCATTTTTAATAATTAATGAATACTTAATTATTAGTCTTTAGTCTAGGTTTTTAATAATTAATTTAGGTTTTAATGAACAACTAATACAACTATACTCATTTAATGAAAAATTTAATAACTAATTATTAAAACAACTACACCCATTCTTCATAAACAATTAATGAATAATTAATAATTAGTCTAGGTTTTAATACTTTAGTTGTTTAGAGTCTCTAGACAATTTAATTAACTATTATTAATTACGAGCTAGAATAGGCCTAAAGCACAATGGAGAATTGCGAATTGGCTATTGAAAAAGATAATAATTATTAATTAATAAGTATAAGTATTAAATAGAATATCATATATTTAATAAACTTAATTAGATATAACCACTAATTCGGTTTTCAGTTCGGTTCGATTAAAAATCTCAACCAAAACTGAAAACCGATTTTGTAAAAAAACAAAAACCAAACCTAACTGACCCAAATTAACCAAAACAAACTAAGATCAATTTTCGGTTTATCATCCAAATTAGAACACTCCTAATGACAAATCATATAATAAATGGCTACTCTCAAACTTCACTTGGATAGTTTTTCATGAAAACATTAATACTTATGAGATGATACGAAGGCAGCCTTTCTGTTCCTTTGACTTGGTGTATTTACCCTTTGTAAGGCTAGTGGGGAAACTACCTTTCACCCTGTTGTTTTGCATCATTCATTTGGGATTTTTCTTCGGTTGTAAGTGGAGTTTAAGTGCTTGTGGGAGGAGAGAGACACATCTTCAAGCAAGGTTCAAAATTTCGATATGTATTAGGCTGTATCAGCCGATGCATATAGTATTGTGGGCTTCCCGATATCCCCTACAATGGGTGTTTTGGGGTCTAACCCAGTTCAGAGAGGTAGATAGGCCCCTCTAAACCAGGTTAGAAAAAATATGAGCCACGACACAGTCCGGACTGTACCGATATTTTGAACCTTGTCTTCAGGGATAAGTGCCCAGGTGTTTCATTAAAAACATTATAATCAAAGTTGTCTATTCTCTAGAAACATTTTACCACTTCTCAAAAGATGTTATCACAATGAATTGGCAACAAGTGGCATCAACCTCCATGTTAAGGAGAGAGCACCCATCTTACTGGCAATTCGTATCTCCTACCCACATGAATCCTACCAACAACCCACCCACAGGACAATACAACTGTACATTGGTACATTGGGTACATCTCCCATGAATGGTAACATGTAAATTAATGAGATCTTCACAATGTGCGGCTGTAGTGATGTGTGGGCAGGGTTACAGTGGGTAGGAGATCCGAAGGGGTCCCCTCCAAATTCAAAAATAATCTATAACCGTATTTTGATAGCTGCACCTAGACAACCCAGGTCCATGTTAGGGGGCTTCTCAGAAATTCAATGGGAAACATCTTGGCAGTATGTTCAGGTCTGATAAAGGTAGGTGACTACAAGAAGTCAGAAGTTATGGATGTTCTATGGGGTCTTTGATTAGCTAATTCCTTGAAGTTGAGAAATATTTTTGGTTGAAGGGGACTGGCATGTTGCCATAGGTGGCGAAAAAGGAATGCAGGAGAGTGGAGATTTAGACACAGGGTGAGGGAAATCAATAAACTAACAGGTGACAGCCGAATTGATAATCACATACCACGACTGATGGGCTAGTCAATCAAGGGGTAAGTTGGAGTGAATTGTATTGAGGAATTGTCGGGGACAAGGGTTTTCTCATGCATAAATGTAAGAGGACTAGTCGAGACTAGTTATCTTAGTTGGCATATGATCTCTGATGCACATAATCTTCTATTTTCATCATCATCATCATGAGAGTTTGGCAAAAGCTTTAATGCTGGCTACGAAGACAAATCTTCTATTTTCATCAATAAATAAATTGACAATTTTTGATAAAAAAGAAGAAATAACATGTCACCAACATAAACATCCAATACAAAATAAATTTGGTTTGCCTGTCTCCTCGCAAAGCCAAACTTTTGAGCCTACACATTTCTTTCCTCATTAGAAATTAAAAGCAAGGGGTCGAGTAAACTTCCTTCTTCCTTGGGGCCTCATGCAAAAAATATTTTATATCCAAGTGATGTAAAACACCAAATTTATTCACAAGGATCACCTTAATAACTAATAGAAAGTAAGCATTTTCATAATCTATACCATAAATTTGATGAACCCCTTAGAAACCAACATGGCCTAGTACATTTCAACCAACCAATATGGCCTAGTACAACTCAACCAAGCCATCAACTTTTGAACAGAGCTTTCAATGAGTTGGGTATGGTCTGGGACAGGGTGGACCATGTCGAACTGATACGAAAATTGTGTAGATCCAGTCCCAAACCAGACCGTATAGGGTCTATAAACCAGACCCAGAATTTACTGATTATTAATTGGGCTAACTGGGTCTGACCTGATAAGAATTGATTACATTTGAAATCCATAATTACCTGCAAATACAAACAAGCAAAATCAGAGACAAAAGGAACTATATGCATAGATAACGGTCAACAAAAGCATTCACCATAGTTAGGCTTAGAGGCTACTGTACTGAAGGACCGGAGAAATTCTTGGTTTACGAGTTCATTGGACATGGCTCACTAGATTCTTTGTAGAGTGACTGCGGGGATTGAGATAGTGCTCAGAGGCTAGCTAATCTACATGGTGGTTGTGGGCCTTTTAGATGACCGGCTACAAGTTCATAGTTCAAACTGCTGATTTTTGGTTAGCCAAAATTTCACCATAGTTAGGCTTAGAGGCTACTGTACTGAAGGACTGGAGAAATTCTTGGTTTACGGGTTCATTGGACATGGCTTACTAGATTCTTTGTAGAGTGACTGCAGGGATTGAGATAGTGCTCAGAGGCTAGCTAATCTACATGGTGGTTGTGGGCCTTTTAGATGACCGGCTACAAGTTCAAAGTTCAAACTGCTGATTTTTGGTTAGCAAAAATATCAGTATTCAAGATTCCAGCAAAGGTGTCCAATAGGTTGGAAAAGATGATGAGAGACTTTCTGTGGGAGCCAGGAGAGGAGAAGAGGGACTATAAGGTGGGGTGGGAGGTGGTGGTTAGAAGCAAGAGGTCAGGAGGTTTAGGGATTGGGAACATTAGAAAAAGGAATGTGGCCTTATTGAGGAAATGGTTATGGAGGTTTTCTTTAGAGAAGAAGCTGTGGGCTAAAATTGTGGTGAGTATTCATGGCAAGGACTACAAGTTCTTCACCTTGGAAAGCCATCCATGACTTATTACCTGTCTTCTCCCCTTTAATCAGGTATATATTATGTTGGACAGTTTTTGTATGCCCTTAGCTTCAATCAGTTTTGATGTACTTTTGATATTTAATGTAAATAAATAAAATACATGTTTGATTCATGTTGTGTGGTATGCTTCTGTGTAAGACCCTAAAACTAGACACTTAATGAAACTTGTGTTGGTTTTAAATGTTCACAGCCGTTGGATAAGTCTGGGGAGATTTATCCTACCAAGGCTGACACTGGTGTGCTGCCAACTGTTGGGGTGGCTTGTCTCAGCC